TTCCCATTTATTTACCAAATGGACTGAAATATTCTAACCCAGAACTTCCAAAATCATTTATTATCATCCCTTGGGATGGAAATCCAGGAGGCAGAGTGGTTTCTATCCTAATTCTCCAGATTCTAGCAGATCTTGGTGCTGGAGTTGGATTTCACTCTGATAAAAGGATCCCTCTCTCAGTGACCATTTCCCACTCTGCCTTCAATCCCAGAGCTGTTTTCCACATTTCAAGAGGATTTCATTGTTGGCTCTGTGGCTTCCTCAACTTTTCAACTTTCCCTGAAGTGTTCCCATGCCTTTCATCCTCAGATCTCAGACAATAAATCTGGCTCAGGACCAGCTGTTTCTGACACCTGAATTTCTCAGCTGTCAATTTGTAGCCCATAAAATCTGTATTTAACACATTCTGCATTCCTTGGGCTTCAGATTCCTTATTCTTAAAGACTTGAGAGTTTTAATTTCTAAAAAAAGGGGGGGAAAGAGATTTTTTTAATGGATGTGTCTCACAAAGCCAATTACATACATGATAAATGTTGTAAAGTAATGAAATAATAAAAATGAATGGGAGGAGCAAGTCCAGGAGGATTGTTGATATAATCCTGCAAGAAGAAATTCGATTACATGCCCAGGATTGTTCTCCTGGATTAGGAATGGTTTAATTGGGAAAGACTGTGCCCACTGTTGAATGGGCTTTAGAGCAGAAAAGGCAGGGAAAGAGCTTTATCATGCAGCTGGAATATCATCATGGAATATCCTGAGTTGGAGGCATCCCAAGGATCATCCAGCCCAACTCCTTCCCTGCCCAGACCCCCAGCAATCCCACCCTAGGCATCCCTGGCAGCTCCTGGAGCTCTGGCAGCCTTGGGGCTGTGCCCATTCCCTGGGGAGCTGTTCCAGTGCTGATTCCACCCTTTGGAGGAGGAACCTTTCCCTGAAATCCATCCTAAACCTCCCTTGGAATGTCTGAATTTCCCCCTGTCCTGTTGCTGTTCCCTAGAAGCAGAGCCCAACTCCCACTTGGGACACTTTTGGATCAGTTTGTCCCTGGCTCAAGCCAAGGCTCACCTGCCCAATCTGGGCTGGGTTGGAGCTGTTGGTCCCTGTTGGATCCACAGGAGCTGGGAACCTCCTCTGTAGGAGAGCAGGGAGGCAGGACCAGCTCCACACGGAAACACAGCCAGGGTTTGGGGTTCTGCTGCTTGTGAAAATATTAATTAAGGAGATAAATGAGGGAAAATGAGGGGAATTGTGTGAGGATCAGCTGAGGGCACTGGGATGGTGCAGCTGGAGAAGAGGAGACTGAGGGGAGACCTTGCTGTGGTCTTCAACATCCTCCTGAGGGCCGCTCCAATTTCCATTCCCTGGGACAGGGACAGGACCCAGGAAATGGACAGGGAATGTTCAGGGTGGATTTTAGGAAAGGTTCTTCCCCCAGAGGGTGGAATCAGCACTGGAAAAGCTGCCCAGGGAATGGGCACGGCCTGAGGCTGCCAGAGCTCCAGGAGAGAGCACAACACCCTCAGGGATGGCCAGGGTGGGATCGCTGGGGGTCTGGGCAGGTACAGGAGCTGCACTGGATGATCCTTGGGATGCCTTCCCACTCAGGATATTCCAGGATTCCCTGATTCTCTGCCAGCAAGAACAGACCATCCTTTACAGCTTGCCTGAATCCCAGATATTTGTCACTGAATCATTCCAAATCCATCCTTGGGAATGACACAAGAGCCACTCCTTAATTTCATATTCTCACCTGGTTAACTCTGAATTTATTCCAGTCAGAATCATGAAAGAAAAGCAGGAATAACACAAATACTCCCTAGGAATTTTCCCTCTGTGATGTGCAAATGGAATATTTGTCCATGAACTGAGCAGCCCAATTTTAGTTATAAAACTTCCAAAGAAATCTCTTATTTTTTCAGGAAAATCAATCTGTGTGGTTATAAATGGCAAAGAAATGACTGTAAACACTGCCACAGTTTTTTATGGAGTATCCAATGGATTAGTTGACTTAATCTTTAATTTTTTTGTCTTCAATTAAGGTTGTCATTAATTAAAGATATTTTGTCCAGCTAGAGGAGTCAGTGAAGGAATTTCTGCTGAGAATCAATAGGCCATGAACAACAGAGTGAGGAGCTGTTTATTTTTTATGAACATATCTGAGCACACAAGGAATCAATCTTTAATCATCCCAGAGGATCAACTCCTCAGGAAATCCAGAATTCCAAGACTTTAAGAGAATAGAGTTTTCCGACAAAAACCATGGAATAAACCTCCTTTTATTGGTGTAAATAAAAGAAAAAAACACCCCATAAAATAAAAGAGTACCACATAAATACAATAAAAAACACCAGGGTGGTTCCAACCTTCTGGAATGAAAATCTGCCCCATTTACAGCCCCTTTTTCTTTTCTGTCTCCCTTGGGAACAAAGATTCCTAAACATTCCAAGGAAACAAGGAGTCCTGTCCCAGACAAACTTTCAGTGCTCCAAGTTGCCAGAGTGTGGATATTCTCTGCTTAATTAATTACAGGATAACGGAAAAAATGCTCCAGGATTGCTTCCATTTTTCCTCAGAGCTTCATAAATATTCCCAAACCACTGGAAAATTGCTATTCCAGCTTGGTCAAAGTCAATTCCTCACTGTTGGAAAACTGTAATTCCAGCTTGGCCAGAGGTTATTCCCCACCTGATTTTCATCCTTATCTTTGTGAGAAAATGGGCTTTGATTATGAGACTTTCTTCCTTTCAAAAATTCCTTTTCCAACCAAATCCTGGTTCTAATGGATATTCCAGCTCTGGACACAGGGATTGAGGTACAGCGTTGTGTTTCATGGTTGTTCCTTGTGGATTTTCTCTTGGGAGCCTCAATCTTGGTTTTTTTCTTGGAAAAAAGCACAGGCTCAACGTTAGGGATGGGCTGAACAGGGAATTTTGGGAAGTGGTGATGAGGATTTGACTCTTTCCCATCCTGGGGAGCCAAGGTGATTCCCAGATCTCCAAGGGAAACAGTCTTGGTTGCTTCCAGCTTGAAATTAGCTCAGTGCTGGGAGTTTCCAGCACCCCAAGGCATTGTAGGAATTAAATCCTACTTTTAGGGCATCCTGAGCTCCATTTATTTTCAATTATTTTCATATTTTTCATCCCAGGTTGTTGATGTTTCCAAAGTTTAGGAAGCAGCTTCTGGGATTATGGCTCCATTTCTAATGCTGGGTTGGTTTTACAAGTGGGAAAACCAAAGCTGGGTGTGGCAGATCCTGAATTTCTTTATTTACATCAATATATTTATATATTTATTATTTATGTATTTACTTTTATATATTTGTATTTTGATGTATTGATACATTTATTGCATATTTTTATATTTGTTTTTATTTTTATTTGTATGTTTTATTTTTGTATAATCTATATATCTGTAGCTTTGTTTATTTATTTATTTATTTATTTTAATATATTTATTTATTCCACAGCAGAGCTGGAAAATCAGGGTTATTTTCCATCCAACAGAGAGAAAATTTTCTGTTGTTTTGGATTTTTTTTCCTCTGGTTTCCATGGTGAAAAATAAGGATTAGACTAGAGCTGGTGTTGATTGCGAGGGGAAAAAAAAAATCAAAATCTGTGTTGTTTCCTATGGAGAAATATCAATACCCAACCCTGGTTTTGGAGGGATAATACTGAAAGGAAAAATATAATTGTTTTCCTTTCTGAAAGGAGAAAATGATGGAGATTTTATTGCTTCTGGAAAGAAGGGCAAGAATTCAAAGCAGAGGCTGAATTTAATAGGAATTCATGTCTGTTTTGGGTAATTGGAAATTTTCCTTGTTAATTATTGAAATTCTTTGGGAAATCTCTGTTTCTGCGGTTCCTTATCCAAAGATGAGGTGGAATAGGGAATATTTTAATATTTGTCCTACAGTGTTCACAGATATCATTAACATAATGACATAAAACTTGGCCTTAAAATCCTAATTTTATTTATTTTTTAAAACTTTATCACCACAAACTGGCCCTTGCTGCTTGGCTGTGTAGTCCATGCCTGATGAGCATCCCAAATCCTCAGGAATTGGGGGAACTCCTGCCCCAAAACACATCCAAGGGCCATTGGACCTCTGCAAGAAACATTCCCAATTTTTTGGTGTGGTTTGTTACAGAAATTCTCCACAGTGGGACAACACAGGAAGTTCATTCCTTGTTGCATCTCTAATTCTTCTCAAATTTTGAAGGTTGCCCAGGTCTGCTCTGCTTTCTAAAGTGAAGATGAATCCCAAAATCTCTGGCCTTTGAATCCTTTGGATTCCGGGCTGGACAACAATTTTGAAAAGAAAGATTGTTTTTCCTTTCAAAAGGAAAGCTATTTCAGATTTTGAGAAGCCAATTTTAAGTGTAAAACAGAGATTTTTTTTTTAAAAATGAGGATTTAAAATTTTAAAAATGCCAAAAAACCCACTGGGTGTTTCTGGGTCACCACAATCTGGCTCTTGGTCCTTGGCCGTGGTCCCTGCCTGCTGAATATCCAAAATCCTCAGGAACTGGGGGAACTCCTACCCCAAAACACATCCAAGTGGGCCATCAGATCTCTGGAAGAAATATTTCAAATTTCTGGTGTGGTTTGTTACACAAATTCTCCACAGTGGGATAACTCAGGAAGATCATTCCTCCTTGTTCATTCTCTAATTCTTCTTGAATTTTGAAGGTTGCCCAGTTTCTACTCCCACACACTTTTCCTGCCCCAAAATCCATCCAAGTGATGTTTGATTTCTGTGGGGAGAGGATGGGCAGCTGACATGGAAGGAGTGGCCTCTGGAACAAATATTCCCAATTTTTGGTGTGGTTTGTTACAGAAACACTCCATGGTGCGACAGTTCAAGTTCATCCCTTGTTGAATTCTGTGTTGTATTCCTTGTTGATTCTTCTGGAATTTTGAAGGTTTCCCAGGTCTGCTCTGCTTTCTAAGGTGAAACCAAATCCCCAAATGTCTGACTTTTGGGTTTTTTGGATTGCAGGCCGGCCAGCAGCGCTGGTGGGAGCAGGAGATCACGGTGAACGGGAACATCCAGAAGGGGGAATTGATCACCTACAACCTGACGGAGCTCATCAAGCCCGAGGCCTACGAGGTCCGCCTGACGCCCATCACCCGGTTTGGGGAGGGGGACTCCACCATCCGGGTCATCAAATACAGCGGTGAGGACCCCAAACCCAAGGAAAAGGAGGTTGGGAATGTTCCGGGTCACCTGGAATGGCACCGCTGTTCCCAGCCTTGGGATAATGTCATGAGCATGGTCATGAGAGTGGTCATCAAAAGGAAGGGGGAGAAATGGAGAGAAAGGAGAATGATGACCTCTCGTAACAACAAAAAAATTCTGAACAGCCAAAATCCCATCCAATTTTTTGTGGGAAATAAGGAAACGTTGGAATAAATTAATGCCAACTTCATGAAATTGGAGATTTCAGGTTGATTCTTGGTGACTTTTGAAGAAAAATTTACAAAGGCTTTTCCCCCCAGAATGAGCAGAATTCATTTTATTTTAATGTGAATTATTGTCTTTAAAAAAACTCAGTGACTGTTTGTGCTACTATGCAAGATTATAAAATCTATATATTTACATAGGAAATAATGGAAGGGCTTTATATATTTCCCACGTCATGAGCGTGGTCATCCCAAAAGGAAGGGGAGAAATGGGAAGAGAGGAAAATCACAACCTCTCATAACAACAAAAATGCCCAACCAAAATAATTCTGAACAGCCAAACCCCAAAATCACATCCGTTTTTTTGTGGGAAATAAAGAAAAATTGGAATAAATTAATGCCAACTTCATGAAATTGGAGATTTCAAGTTGATCCTTGATGAGTTTTGAAGAAAATCTACAAAGGTTTTTTTTTCCCCAGGACAAACAGTTTTTATTTTAATGTGAATTATTGTCTTTAAAAAAAGTGACTGTGCTCCTATGCAAGATTATAAAATCTATAAATTTATATAACAAATAATGGAAAGGCTTTATGAATTTCCCACGTCATGAGTGTGATCATCCCAAAATGAAGGGGAGAAATGGGGAGAGAGGAAAATCTTCACCTCTCATAACAACAAAATCAGCCAAACAAAACAATTCTGAACAGCCAAACCCCAAAATCCCATCCAATTTTTTTGTGGGAAATAAGGAAAAATTGGAATAAATTAATGCCAGCTTCATCAAATGGCAAATTTAGAGTTGATTCTTTTTTTGAAGGATGAGCTTTGAAGAAAAATCTGCAGACAAAGTTGGTTTTTCCCCCAGAATGAGCAGTTTTGATTTTAATGTGAATTATTGTCTTTGAAAAAACAGCGACTGTTTGTAGTCCTTTGGAAGATTATATAATCTATAAATTTATATAAGGAATAATGGAAGGGCTCTATAAATTTCCCTCTAAAAGGTCACTCTGACAAAGATTAATCCACTTACATATAAAAGAAAACCACAATACCCATACATCCTGTTTCCCATATTCCCAGAAATTCAATGCTCTGTTAAATCCATCCAAATACCTTTTTTGGGGTGTTTATTTTATGAATAATTGAATTTCTTTTTTTGGGGTTTTTTTTTTCTGCTGTAAAAATTGCAATGAATGAGCAAGAAGGACCTTAAAGAGGAGGTTGAAGAATCCCTAAATGTGACGCTTCCATAATTCCTTGTTAATCACCATCTTCCTGCCACAAAATTCTCACCAAAATGGTAAAAAACTTCCCCTAAACCCATCCCATTCCCATCCCAAACTGCTCCAGGATCCCTCAACCTCCTTTACACTTTGTCCTGCAGCTGTGCTGCTGCAAAAGTGGGATTTTTGTGGGTTTTTTTTCTGGTTGTTTTGGAGGGCTTTTTTCCCCAGGTTTATGATGCTGAATAAATTCAGCTTAACCACCTTCGTTTTCTTGTCTGCTTTTGTGCCTGGGTGTGACACAGAGCGTTGGTTTTGCTCTGCTGGGAACAATCCAAACCGTGTGACTCGAGGTGACACCTGATGAGATTTTCCATCCAAAGCCCTGCATTTAGTTACAAATCAAGCCTCAGTCAATGCAGCTGCCAGCGAGTGCAGCTAATTCCAGGTTCAATCACTCAGGGATCCTGTAAAATTGAGGTTTTTTTGGAGAATCAGAGGTAATTTGTAGGTAAAAGATGTAAAGATTGGGTTTCTCGGGGAGATGACACTGGAGCAAATCACTGCTCGTGTTTCAGGTAAAGTGGTGCTGATTCAGAGCTGGTGTGGAAAATCCAGATTGAATTTGGGATTTTGCTGAATTTTAGGCTGGGTTTAAAGCAAGGAAGGGCAGCAGGAAAACCTGGAGTGATGCTCTGGCATTGTCAGATGTCCCCGTTAATTGGGGATAAAATTTAATTTTGGATTTTCTGTGGATAAAATTAAATTCCAGCCCCGATCTCAGCCTCCTTCTGCTTCCCACGTGTGTGGGGCTGTAGCAGAAGGGCCTTTTCCTAAATCATCCCTCCTCAAATTTCTCCTTCTGCAAACAGAGCCACAGAATGATCCCTCCTTCAATCCCATTCCCAGGTTTTAGCTTTGCACAGATTCCTCTGGATTAACCTGGGAAGCCATTCCCATGCTGAGGATGTTGTGGACATTGTGAAGGTTTGGATTTCATTCTCTTCCAGCCTTTTAAGGAATAAAGTAGATGAATTTCAATATGCAGCAAGGGGAAATTTAGGATAATCTGAATATTGAATTAGAATGTTTTCTTTGTAATAATTTTATTTTCCCTATGTTTTCCAGCTCCGGTGAATCCACATCTCCGTAAGTATTTTAATTATTTATTATTTTATCTTCCATGCCATGAAGAACAGTTCTTGCATCGGTTGTCCCTCACAGTTCAGAAGTAAATTTGAAGTATTTTACTTCCAGTTGAAAAGTAGATTTGAAGTATTTTACTCCCAGTTGAAAATTAAATTTGAAGTATTTTGCTTCCAGTTGAAAATTAAACTTGAAGTATTTTGCTTCCAGTTGAAAATTGAATTTGAAGTATTTTACTTCCAGTTGCAGCCCATGGGTAACAGGAACAACCTGAAGGTGTAATTAGGGATTGCTCTTGTTCCAACAAGGATAAAGGAAGGAAAATCACAGCTCCAGCTCACCTTTCTCATTGCCCCAGAGAGTTCATCCAAAGGAAAATATTCATGGGTTGAAGTTCAGATCCAGCTGTGGTGGAGCAGCTCAGGAGGTGTTGGAGATGCCTTGGGAAATCATGGAAGGGCAGGGACACCTCCCACCATCCCAGGCTGCTCCAAGCTCCAATGTCCAACCTGGCCTAGGACACCTCCAGGGATCCAGGGGCAGCCACAGCTGCTCTGGCAACTCCAGCCCAGCCAGGAATTCCCAGTTCCCAATATCCCACCTAAATCCACCCTCCTTCCCCTTCAAGCCATTCCCTGCGTCCTGTTCCCCCATCCCTTGTCCCCAGTCCCTCTCCGGCTCTCCTGATGCCCCTTCAGGCTCTGGAAGGTTCTCTAAGGTCTCCCCAGAGCCTTCCTTGTGGTTCTTGAGTTATTTGCATGTTTTTTAGGGCAGATGGAAACCAAAAAGAAGGAAGTTCTTCCCCACAGAGATCCAGGAATCACAGAATCATTGCACAGAGAAATGGGGAGAGCCCAAGAGGATCTTGGTTCTCCCCAAATTCTCGGGACACTCAGGCGTGACTGGGAATACAAACTCTGACACAGGGGTGTCCCAGGCTGGAAATGTCAAAGTCACACTTTGTTCTTCCACTTTTCCATGGGCACCAAATCCCTGCAAACATCCAGGAAGGAGACTGGGCTGGAGAGTTGGCACATCCCAGTAAAACCACCCTGTTCCCACAGTCCCACATATCCCTACTCCATCATGTTCTCCCAAACCCCAACAAATCCATATTTTCTGTGACAACATATTCTTGTTTTTAATAACACATCCCAAATTATTCCCTACCTAAGGAATTAGGTCGGGTTTCCCATTTTTCCTGCTGCAAGGTGGAGCCATCAGGCAAGGAGCAGACCCTGCTCCCTCCCTCAGACTTAACTTTAAGCCTTTGTGTAAATTTTAAACTTATTTGCAGAAGATCTTGTCCAACATGTTAATAATTAAGCAGGGCTTAGCTCAAAACTGCCGGGATCTGCAGGAACCTCTCCCATGAAGTCTTAACGAGCAGGGAATGAGACTTTTGCTAATTAATATATTAAATCTAGGCTCTGATGGGAAGAAAAATACAATCCCAAGTGCTTCACGCTCCTCTAGGATTTTAAGATCTCAAACTAATTTTCCAAGAGTCTTGTAGGATCATGATGGAATGTGGGTGGCATCCAGATGGGAATAAGGAATGTGTTGACTCAAGGGAAGGACTGGAAAATTTTTCCACCAAAGCTGCAGGGTCCCCAGGGCCACTCCTTTCAGGTGCCCAAAGCCATGGTAGAATTCTGCTTTGCTTGTTTTCCCTGAGGACTTTTTGACTGCAATCTCTTGGTAGGAAAGAAATCCCGGTCTGTATCCCATCCCTATTCCCCAATGCCACCACTGCCCCATAGCCCCAAGTGCCACCTCCATATGGCTTGAAATCCCTCAGGAATGGGCACTCCAAACCTCCCTGCGCAGTGCCAAGGCCTGAGCCCCCTTTCCATGAAGGAATTTTCCCTGATATCCAATTTAAGCCTCTCCTGGCCCAGCCTGAGGCTGTTCCTTCTCCTCCAGTCCCTGTGCCCTCCTGGCAGGAGCTGTGCAGAGCCACAAGGGCCCCTGAGCCTCCTTTGCTCCAGGCTGAGCCCCTGCCCAGCTCCTCAGGGATTCTGCAGCCCCTGCCCAGCTCCTCAGGGATTCTGCAGCCCCTGCCCGGCTCCCTCAGGGATTCTGCAGCCCCTGCCCAGCTCCTCAGGGATTCTGCAGCCCCTGCCCGGCTCCTCAGGGATTCTGCAGCCCCTGCCCGGCTCCCTCAGGGATTCTGCAGCCCCTGCCCAGCTCCTCAGGGATTCTGCAGCCCCTGCCCAGCTCCTCAGGGATTCTGCAGCCCCTGCCCAGCTCCTCAGGGATTCTGCAGCCCCTGCCCAGCTCCTCAGGGATTCTGCAGCCCCTTCCAGCTCCCTCAGGGATTCTACAGCCCCTGCCCAGCTCCTCAGGGATTCTGCAGCCCCTGCCCAGCTCCCTCAGGGATTCTGCAGCCCCTGCCCAGCTCCTCAGGGATTCTGCAGCCCCTGCCCAGCTCCTCAGGGATTCTGCAGCCCCTGCCCAGCTCCCTCAGGGATTCTGCAGCCCCTGCCCATCTCCCTCAGTGATTCTGCAGCCCCTGCCCAGCTCCCTCAGGGATTCTCCAGCCCCTTCCCAGCTCACTCAGCCTCTCCTGGGGCTCCAGACCCTTCCCCAGTTCCCTTGTCTACGCTTCCTACAAAATCCCTGTTGTCCCTAAACCTGTTGGGCAGATTTCTGGTTTTATTTATGCAAACAAAGAGGAGGAGCTGTATCCAACCAGGACAAGATTCCTGACTGGAAGCTGAAGTAATGCTCTTCCTGCTTCAATTCTGGAATAATCCCATTCCCTAAATCCTGCCTTTGGATGCAATCTCCACAAAAAGCATCAAAAGATTTCAACTCTGAGGTGGAGTCTCACTTCCCCACTTCATTTCTTACCACCTAACAGAAACCATTTAATGTAAACCAGAAGGATTTTAGATCAATTTGTACAATTAGAAGTCACGCCTGAATAATAGAAGAGAGGAGATGTTCGGGAGTCACATCCAGCTTGGATTTTATGGGAATGGATGACACAAATCCCTGCTACAATGAAGGGTTTCACCTCCCGAACAGCTTCAGCTTTTGCTCTAATTGGCAAGGAAATTATTAATGACCTGAATCCACTTCCAGAGCTGCCATGTGCGCTGACAAAAACCACCACTCTCATTAATGTTAATTAGCACCATCGTTAGGGCCATGGCTGGAGCACCTGTGGAAGAGCTGCTCGTTCCTCCTGCCCAGCAATTAACAGCTCCAGAGCATCCCAATCTGTTTAAATGCTCCCACAAAAGTATGGAGCAAAGCCTGAGGAGCTTTTTCCCATTTTTCTTCTTCTGTCATTTTTTAAGGAGTGTTCAGTGCCAAGAACATTTAGCACTAACCTTTTCCAAGGTATTCCACATGAAATCAATGTTTGACTATTAAATAAATGGCAAACTTTGACTCTTCTTTTTTTTTCCCCACATGGCTTGAATATTTATTTTATTTTTTTTCTTCACCTCAGGAAAAAAATCTTTTGTTCTGCTGATATGGAATTTTTTAATGAAGCTCTGAGGGCAGAAGACATTTATGCAGCTTTTAAGACACTGGAGGGGCAGTGCAGAAAGTGCTGAATGGCTGAAAATTCTTTCTTTTGTTCACTTTGCTCCAGGACTGGATCTGGGAATCAAAACTTTTCTCCTTCGTTCAAATTTTGCCTTTTAATTTCATCCCTTTGTGTAGAAGCAGCAACTTCCATGTTGCAGAAAGATGCAACAGTGGAGGTGGAAGCAAAATCCACATATTGTGGGGTAAACCAAGAGAATTTGGAGCTCAGGTGGTGTAAAAAGAATTCTTGGAGAGGCATAGCTGGCACTTTGTTCAGGAAGCTTTGTTTGAGTCCTGGGACATTCACAGAATCACAGAATGATGAGGTTGGAAGAGACCTCTGAGATTGAGTCCAACCTGTGCCCTCACACCTCACCCAGACTATAGCACCCAGTGCCTTGTCCAGTCTGTTTATTAAACACATCCAGAGATGGTGATTCCACCACCTCCCTGGGAAGAGCATTCCAGTGCTTTATTACTCTTTGGGTGAAAAATTTCTTCCTGATATCCAACCTGTGCCTCCCTGCCGTAGCTGCAGACTGTGTGCTGTGGTTCTGTCAGAGACCGACCCCACCTGTCTGCACCTCCCTGCAGGAAGGTGTGGAGAGCAATGAGGGCACCCCTGAGCCTCCTCTTCTCCAGGATAAACAGCCCCAGCTCCTTCAAACGTTCTTCAAGAGCCTTGGCGGGGTCTTGGAATTCCCTTCCCAGTATTGGGATAAAGAGGAGATGTCGATTGGTCAACGTCTCTCCTGAAGGGTTTGGGTGCAATCATGGAACCATCAAAGGATCAGGGACTGGTTTGGGTTGGTGGGACTTGAATCCCATCCCATCCCATCCCATCCCATCGCATCCCATCCCATCCCATCCCACACCTCCCACTGTCCCAGGATTCTCCAAGCCCCAATGTCCAGCCTGGCCTTGGGCACTGCCAGGGATCCAGGGGCAGCCACAGCTGCTCTGGCAATTCCAGCCCAGCCCCTCCCAGGCAGAATTCCCTCCCTGGTGCCCAGAGCAGCTCCCACCATGCTGAGCTCCCAGGGATAACCAGAATCCCACATCCTGCTCAGGTCGGCAGTGAAGGAGCTGTTCTTGGGGAATGAATTCTCCTGGGGGATTTGATGATGTTGATGGATTTACTGGGAAGCCAAACCAGTCTGCTCGAGGTGCTGAGAGACAAGGAGGTTTCTGGGAACTGCATTCCAGTGCTAACCTGGTTTTATAGGATTGTGTTTGATACTGATGGTCCTGGAGGGACACAGAATGCCAGGATGGATCAGGCTGCAAGGGGCCACAGAGGGTCACTGGTGCCAGTCCCTGCCCAGGGCACAGGATTGTGTCCATGTGGCTCTGGAATATCCCAGGGAGGAGACTCCAGCCCCTCTCTGGGCTCTGCTGAGGGCTGGGCACTGCCCAGGGCAGGAGTTCTGCCTCCTGTGCCTGGGAATTCCTGGGATCAATCCCTGCCCCTGGCTCTGGGGCCATTGCTGGGCCTGGAGCAGAGCCTGGGCCTGCTCTGACCTCTGCACACAGGGACAGACTGGGAGACAGACAGGGGGACACACAGGGACAGACAAGGACAGACAGGGACAGCCAGGGATAGACAGGGACAGACAGGGGGACACGGGGACAGACAGGGACTGACAGGACAGACAGGGAGACACAGGGACACACAGGACTGAGGCCTCTCTCAGCTGGGTTTTCTCTCCAGGGTGAGCAGCCCCAGCTCCCTCAGCCTTTCCTGGGCATGGAGATGCTCCAGCCCTTCCTCATCCTCACATCCCTCCTCTGGACCAGATCCAGGAGCTCCAGGTCCCTCCTGTCCTGCTGATCCCAGAGCAGGACACAGCACTCCAGATGTGCCCAGGGCGGAGCAGAGGGGCAGGATCCCCCCAGTCTCCTCCCTGCTCCCTCCTGGACCCCTTTGGCTTTGTGTTGTTCCTTCTAAAGGCAGGAGGAGAACCAGGAATATTTGGAAATCATTCCGAGTCCATTCAGAGGTTTGCAGTGAAATTTCCAAGCTTATTTCTCAGCCTGCAGCATCACCTGAGTGTTGCAGCACTAAGCTCCAGGTCCCTCTCTCCTCACTGATTAACACGGAAGCTCCAGTGGCTTAAGTGGATTTAGAGCTCCCCAAAAGCCCAAACCTGCAAACATTTATCCACCTTCTCAGTTTAACAGGGACGAACAATCCCCCGACACCGGGGGGTTTGAGTTTCTCCTAGCAATGAATATAAATTGCACCCCTCCAAGCTGACACCGTGTGCAGGCAGCTGCCTTCTCCCTGGAGAAGGGAGATTTCCTTCTTTTCTCAGATAAATCAATGGACTTTGCAGAAAGACTAAACTCAGCAGGAATTGTTCATGCAGTGAAATTCAGCTTTTGCACGCTCTACTCCACGGGGCCTTGTAATGCTCTGAGTGAGAGCTGAACCTCCAAGCTGGGCTTTGTTTTGGTTCTTAATTTACAGGAGGAATTTCTCATCCCATCATCACCCAGCAGGGCAGATCACTGGGATCACTGGGGTCTCACAATTCCATGCAGGAGAGGATCCCAGGAATCCTCCTTGGGGTTCTTGGCAATTTTTATTCTTTAGACCTACGTGTTTACCACTTTCTTCAAATACATCACAGAAATCTCAATGAAAATCCAGGAGGTGTGTCCAGGACATCATACAGTCACCTCTCCTTCCCATATGGATTCAGATATTCCTCCCAGGAATTCAGGAATTTGTTACAATAATCTGGTGATGGGGACTCAATTCTCCTCCTGGTATCCCTCCATGTGCTGCAGTGTCCTGATTTTTAGACATTTCCTTCATGTCTATCCCAAAGCACTTTTGCCTCATTTTAGCCACTTCCGTTTCCATCCCTATTGAAACGAAGGATAATTTAGGAGGTGCCACTTGGAGATAATGTTTACAATTTGAAAAACTGCTGTCTCTTATTCCTAAACCACATTAACCCACTTCCCACATTCCCCCCCTCCCCCCCCGCCATATTTAATGTTTTATGAGAATGATTCTGTTCTCCCCAGCTTTTTAGAAATGTGAAAAGAGACAACACCTCTAAAAACCACTGTATAAATCTGAATAGATGGGGAGGAGCTCTACAAAAAGATATATATATAATTTCAATTTCACCAGCACAAATCGATGACCCTGATTTTTTTTTTTTTAATTTTTTTTTTTTTTTTGTTGAGCTTGCTGCTAAAGAAAACTGCGGGTAATTCACAAGGAGTTTGAAAAATAAGGATCGGATGGCAAACCTTGGCCAGTAAATTCCTGTTATTTGTTTTGGCAGGAGAGTTCCACTGTGGCTTTGAGGATGGGAACATTTGCCTTTTCACTCAAGATGACACCGACAACTTTGACTGGACAAAACAAAGCACTGCCACGAGGGACACAAAATACACGCCCAACACAGGGCCCAACGCTGACCGCACCGGCTCCAAGGAGGGTAAGGTCCAGCAGTGAGGAATGTGGGATAAAGGAACTGTCCAGGACAGGCACTTCAGCCATTTCCTGCTCATGGAATCCCAGATGGATTGGGATAGGAAAGGATTTAAGTTCATCTTGTCCCACCCCTGCCATGGCAGGAACACAGAATCACAGAATCTCAAGGTTGGGAGACACCTTTGAGATCATTGAGTCCAACCCAGCCCCAACATCTCAACTCAACCCTGGCACCCAGTGCCACATCCAGGCTTTGTTAAACACACCCAGGGATGGGGACTCCACACCTCCCTGGGCAGCCATTCCAGAACTTTATCACTCTTTCCATGAAAAACTTTTTCCACTGTCCCAGGCTGCTCCAAGCCCCAGTGTCCAACCTGTCCTTGGGCACTGCCAGGGATCCAGGGGCAGCCACAGCTGCTCTGGCAATTCCAGCCCAGCCAGCAATTCCCAATTCCCAATCTCCCATCCATCCCTGCCCTCTGGCACTGGGAGCCATTCCCTGGCTTCTGTCCCTCCATCCCTTGTCCCCAGTCCCTCTCCAGCTCTCCTGGAGCCCCTTCAGGTCCTGCCAGGGGCTCTGAGTTCAGACCAAGATCCTTCAAGGACTACCAGAAGGAATTACCGGTGCTGAGGAGTGACAGGTCCCAAAACACAACCCCTGATGGTGCCATTCCCACCTTGCCTCATCTTTATTGTGCCGTTTTCAAAGTGATTCCCTTCACATTAAACTCTACTGGGGCAATCTGGCTCATCTTAAAACATTCTCCTGCTTTACATAATTTAAATTCTCCCTTGGGCTCTCTCAGTGAGGGGATTTTGCCCCATTTTTGCTCTAGCTATTTTTCAAATGTGCAATTTTCAATCTGCTACCCCTGCTAACGTGTGCTCCTGACTGCAGTGGGGATTTGCATTTGAGAAGTCCAACACATGGAGTTGAATTTATCCAGACCTGCAGTAATTCCTGCTATTTTATTGTGTACACTTCCAAGGGGAAAAATTCATCCTGCACCATATTCATTTGGTTGAATTAATTCAATAAAATCTCTGTGGTTGGCACTTCCAGGAATGGAATAAAGGGATATTGTCTTCTCTGGGTTTGACATGGCAAGTTGAAAATATTCCTTGAAAGGTGTCCATCATGATATTTTCCCTTTATTTTACAAGTCATGTTTCCAGGGATAAATTTCCCCCTCAGGACTGAAGGCTGAACCCCCTCAGACTTTGTGCAAAGGTTCATCAGTTTGGAGATGTTTTCCAGCACTGGCCTACTTCCTGGATTTTAGTTTTCAGGGAAAACACAGCTTTGGAACAGCTTTTGGAAACACAGGGGCTTCATGAGGGAAAAAATGAGTCCCAAAAATGACATGGTCAGAGATGGAAGTGAGAACTTTATCAGGATGCTTGATAATTCCACGGTCTTCCTGCATTTATCTGTGTTGGATGTAGAAGGCCTCATCCCAAGGATTCCTTTTTGGATTTTTCCAGGGTTTTATGTGTACATTAAGATGTCCCAGGTGTTGGCCTCATCCTAAGGATTTCCATCTGTGTTGGATGTTGAAGGCCTCCTCCCAATAATTTCCTTTTGGATTTTTCCACATCTTTCAGTGTACATTGAGACATCCCAGATGCTGAAGGCCTCATTCCAATGATTTTCTTTTGGATTCTCCAGGTTTTCTTGCATACATTAAAACGTCCCAGGTGTTGAGGGCCTCATGCTAAGGATTTTCTTCTGTGTTTGGTTTTGAAGGCCTCATCCTAAGGGTTTCCCTTTGGATTTTTCCAGGTTTTTACATGTACATCGAGACATCCTGGATGTTGAGGGCCTCATCCCAGTGATTTCCTTTTGGATTTTTCCAGGTTTTTACATGTACATCGAGTCATCCCAGGTATTGAAGGCCTCATCCCAATGGTTTCCCTTTTGATTTTTCCAGGTTTTCACATGTACATCGAGACGTCCCGGGTGTTGAGGGCCTCACGCTAAGGATTTCTTTCTGTGTTGAGTTTTGAGGGCCTTATCCCAGTGATTTCCCTTTTGATTTTCCCAGGTTTTTACATGTACATTGAGACATCTTGGGTGTTGGAGGCCTCATCTCAATGATTTCCCTTTGGATTTTTCCAGGTTTTCAAATATACACAGGTGTTGAAGGCCTCATCCTAAGGATTTGCCTTTGGATTTTTCCTGGTTTTCACATGTACGTTGAGATGTCCCAGGTGCTGAAAGTCACGTCCTAAGGATTTTCTTCTGTGTTGGGTGTTGTGGGCCTCATCCTAAGGGTTTTCCTTTGGATTTTCCCAAGTTTTCACATGTACATAGATGTTGAAGGCCTCATCCCAATGGTTTTCCTGTTGGATTTTTACAGGTTTTTACATGTATATTGAAACATCTCAGGTGTTGAAGGCCTCATCCCACTGATTTCTCTGTGGATTTTCCCAGGTTTTTACATGTACGCAGGTGTTGAGGGCCTCATCCCACTGATTTTCCTTTGGATTTTCCCAGGTTTTTACATGTACACCGGTGTTGAAGGCCTCATCCCACTGATTTCCCTTTGTATTTTCCCAGGTTTTTACATGCACACAGGGGTTGAAGGCCTCATCCCAATGATTTCCCTTTGTATTTTGCAGGTTTTTACATGCACACAGGTGTTGAAGCCCTCATCCCAATGGTTTCCCTTTGGATTTTCTCAGGTTCTTACATGTACATGAAGACATCTCAGGTGTTGAAGGCCTCATCCCAATGGTTTCCCTTTGTATTTTTCCAGGTTTTCACAGGCACACAGGTGTTGAGGGCCTCATCCCAATGGTTTCTCTTTTGGTTTTCCCAGGTTTTTACATGTACATCGAGACGTCCCGGCCCAGGCTGGAGGGGGAGAAGGCCCGGCTCGTCAGTCCCGTTTTCAGCGTTGCTCCCAAAAATCCCTACGGAGCCACCAACACGGCCTACTGCTTCAGCTTCTACTATCACATGTATGGACAGCACATAGGTGAGAGAAAGCCAATTCCTCTGGGAAAGATAGCTGGAAAAAAATCCTCCTGTTTGGAGGAAAAGCATGGGAAAAGTGCCAGTTCCTCTGAGAGCCTGGCATAACTCAGGGAGGTGCTTGAGGGCATCCAAATTGTGGCAACATCCTGATTTCCACTAATCAGGGAGTTTTAGGAAGGAGGAATTTCCCTCTTGCAGCTGGAAAGTGTTTCCTGCATGAGTGAGGTTTTGGGCAGGGAATTGCATGCGAATCCCATTGATCTGAATGGGAATTTTAGAGCCTGGAATGGGAAAAGTTGATTTTAACAAGGATTTTTCCTGATTCTAACGGGATGTTTTAGGCATTCCTGAGTAGAATCAGGATCAGGCAAGGAGCAGCAGCATTCCTCACGTGTTTCTTGTGGAAAATTTATGTAAAATTTGCTCAAAAACTGTAGGAATATGAATTTTCAATGGACATCTGTGAGTGTTCTAGGTATTCCTGATGGATTCAGGATCAGGCAAGGAGCAGCAGCACTCCTCATACATTTCCCATAGAAAACATATGGAAAAAATTGCAGTAAAGCCACAGGTATTTGGATTTTCAAGGAGTACCTGTGAGTGTTTTCAGCATTCCTGACTGGATTCCATGTCAGGCAGGGAGCAGCAGCACTCCTCATCTATTACCCATGGAAAAGTCCTGGAAAATTTTTTCAAAAGCTGCTGGAATGTAGATTTTAAAAGGATATCTGTGAGTACTTTAGGTATTTCTGACTAAATTCAGGATCAGCAGGGAGCAGCTGCATTTCTTAGGTGTCATGGAAAATTTGTTCAAACACTGCAGAAATGTGGATTTTCAAGGAGTATCTGTGAGTGTTTTAGGCATTCCTGACTGGACTCAGGATCAGGCAGGCAGCAGCACTCCTCATATATTTCTTGTGGAAAAGCCATGGAGAATTTGCTCACAAACTGCAGGAATACAGATTTTCAAGGAGTAGTTTGAGTGGTTTTGGCATTCCTGACTGGATTCAGGATCAGGCAGGGAGCAGCAGCATCCCTCATGTATTTCCCATGGAAAAGTCAAGGAAAATTTGTTCAAACTGCAGGAATGTATATTTTAAAAGGATATCTGTGAGTGCTTTAGGTATTCCTGACTGGATTCAGGATCAGGCAGGGATCTGCAGCATGCCTCATACATTTCCCATGGAAAATTCATGGCAAATTTGCTTTAAAGCCACAGGAACGCAGATTTTCAAGGAATATATGTGAGTGTTTTAGGCATTCCTGATGGATTTGGGATCAGGCAGGGAACCGCTGCATTCCTCACGTGTTTCCTGTGGAAAAATCACAACAAATCTGCTCACACACAGCAGGAATTCGAATTTTCAAAGGGTACCTGCCAGTCTACTTTTAATCCTGCCTCTTTCAACACCCACATTTAATTTCTTTTTGTGGTACAAAAAAAAAAAAAAAAGTGGGAAAATATAAAAGCCCAAACAACAAAAATCCATAATTTGGAAGTCCTTTGCGGGTTTCTCGTTGCTCCCAGTGTGCCAAGAGTTTTTCCAATGTCAAAGTGACCTGGTTTGATGTATTTTTATCTCTGTTTCAAGGGCAAACCCATCCTCCCAGAGAGTTCTGGTGCTTGCTTTGTCCGAGCTCCCCCTGCCCCCAGGCAGAGCTCAGATTTTAAGCAGAGCAGACAAGAGCACTCAGGTTATTATTTTTTTTGTCTCTGTGCTGCAGGAAGGTGGATGCAGCTCCAGGTTGGAATTCTCCTGGCTCTGTGCTGGGTTTTTTATTGGAAGGAAGGGATTCAGCCACTCAGTGCTGAGAGAAAATCTAGAAATTGCAATATCCGGTCATATTCTGGTCATTTATTTGTGGTGAATTATGAAGAACAAATTACAAACATCAAGGGTCAAAGAGTGTTTCTGTATTCTAAAAGTTAGAAAGTATTCTAAAAGTTTAATTCTACTTCCTATTATTCCTCCTTTTAATTACTATTAATAAATTTTTCTTTATACCCTTTTAAAGTTTTAAGCCTACTTTACCTTTCTCCTAATCCTACCTCGCAGCAAAAGTATGTAAATTAGCAATTAACCAGCACTAAACCCCCCACACTCATTAAGAAAAAAACAACAAAAAATCTCAAATTAACAAACCAAAACCTCTGCACATGTAAATATGGAAATGAATATAAATAAATATAAATAAATAAAACAAAATTAAATAAAAATTAAAAATAAATACAAATATTTTAAATAAATAGAAATAAATAGAAATAAATAGAAATATTTGGAGGAGGGATGAGGCTGAGCAGCATTCCCAGCCCTGCTCCGAACAGCTGGGCTGGGCTAAAGGAATCCCTTTGCAATCCCTTTCTGGTTTAGGTTTCTCCCTGCTTTGTGTGGAGGCAGAGCCAGACTTTCCCCTCCAGATTCCATTTCCTTTGTGCCCATTCCCTGCATTCATGGGGGGATCATGGAGCTGCTCCTCATTCTCTTTCCCAGCTCCTTCAGGGAAGATGGATGATTCCATTCCAATCCCATTCCAGTCCCATTCCAGTCCCATTCCAATCCCGTTCCAGTCCCATTCCAGTCCCATTCCACTCCTATTCTCTCACCCTGGTGAAAAGGCCAACAGGGGAATATTTCCTCCATTCAGTCTCCAGCCTGATGTTTTCCAAGGGTCCAAGTTTGACTTTTGCTAGAAGTAAGAACTGTTCCAGAGCATGTGCAGCTGCCTCAGATCTGGGAGCTTCCCTTGGAATTTCTGGGATCTGCTGTGCCAGGCATCCCAAAAAACACTGCTCCTGTGGGAATTTGGCAGTCTGAAAGTCTCAGATTAAGAGAAATACACTGAATTTACAGAGCACAAAGAGACCTCACTGCCCCACACACCTGCAGGCAACCACGGTGGCAAATAGCACCAAAACTCCCCAAGTCCTGTGAATTAATGAGCCCAGAGAAATGAAATTTGTTATTTTTTTGGTGCACCAAGAGAATCTGGTTCTGTTCATGCCTACAGGTGATCCTGGTGTCAAAAATGTCTGTGCTGGCAAAGGTGGAAAAAAGGGTGTGGGCAAAGGTGCAGCTCTGGGGGGTTTTCCTGCACAGGGAAAGATTTTGGAGGTTTTTGTACTCAGAAGATGTTGAGGATATTGTTGTCCTCCAGAAATATTCCCAATGGCATCAGGTCTCTCCCTGAGATGGATCTGCCGGGTTCTGGGGAACTCCGAGAGTTCAGCAATGGGCAGAGGAAAGCTGGGCAGGTTTAACAAGCAAGAATTCAGCACAAAACAACCAAATTGCTGATTTTGTCCTGGATAAGGGGGTCTAATGCAAATTTCTTGCTCTAAACCACAGAAAATTCCTTTTTGCCTGTTTTCCCTGGAATTCTCATGCCTGGCCTGAGTTGCAGGGTGGGTGCTCAGTTCCCCTCTGCTGGGAGTTCTCATCACCACTTCCCAGAATTCCTGAATTTAAAAGGGTTTGAATTTACACCAAGAAACTTCCACACCTCAAATCCGTGGAAAATGGGTGAGGAGGGTCCTGCAGCATCCAGGCAGAGCCCTCCCAACTGCAGTTCTCCTGCTCTTTTCCAGGAAGTTTGAACGTTTACCTGAGGCTCAAAGGCCAGACTGCCATAGAGAACCCCTTGTGGTCCTCGAGTGGGAATAAGGGACAGCACTGGAACCAAGCCCGGGTGAACATCAACCCCCCCACCTCATTCCAGGTAAGGCTGGCACCTCCAGGAGCTGGGAATTCAGGGCTGGGAGGGAGACTGGGAACATTGACCCTTTTCTTTGGGATTTCCCGGCTCTGGAGGCTGCTCATGGACAGATCATTGCTTTCCTTGAGCACCACGGAGCTTAATAATGCTTGAACTCAAAACACCTTCCAGCCTCCCAAAGATACTGGGAGAGATTCCAGCAGGTTTTGATTTCAGATTAGCAAGGGGAATATAAAATCATTCACTGGGAGAAATTACTTAGGGCCCCTGTGTTAGAGGTTTTTGGAAATATCTGGACTTTCTGTGGGAAATGAATGATCTGGGAGCATGACACACAGGGGGCTGTGACAGGCTTTTCACACATTTCCTGCTGGGGTTGACAGGGAGGTGCTGATGAACCTTTAGGGGCAGTTCCCAGGCACACTGGGAGCTGCTTGGAACTGGAACACTCCCAAAACAGCAGCTGCTGCCAGCACATCCTGCTGTGGGTGAGGCTGGGAATGTCCTCAGGGAATGTGGGAGTCACGAGCCGTGCCCTCAGTGCAGGGTTCTCCCCTGAGCCCTCTGTCACTTCTAGCTCTCCTAGGGGAGAAAATGTATTTTTGGGAAAAAGTCACAGGCTGGTTTGGGTTTGAAGTGACCTTGAATCCCATCCCATTAAATGCCATCCCATTAAATGCCATCCCATTCAATCCTATTCCATTCAATCCCATCCCATCCCATCCCATCCCATCCCATCCCATCCCATCCCATCTCATCCCATCCCATCTCATCCCATCCCATTCCATCCCATTCAATCCCATTCCATTCAATCCCATCCCTATCCTATTCCACACCTCCCACTATCCCAGGATGCTTCAAGCCCCAATGTCCAACCTGCCCTTGGAAGATTCCTTCAGCACAAACCCAAACTGCTCTTCTAAAACCCTACATTAGGTTCCACTTCCTGTATTTCCAGGGAATTCCTGATCCTGACCCTTTGTTTTCATTTCCACATATGAGAGGCGTTGGCAGGAGAGAAATGGTTTGGTCTGTGGGATTGCAGAGCAATTCCAATGATGGGAATTACAGGAAAATTGAGGGAGAGGGAGATGTGAAATACGGTGGGATGTGAGAGAGCTAGGAATGTTCACCTGGAGAAGGGAAGGATTCAGGAAAACCTCAGAGCCCCTGGCAGGGCCTGAAGGGGCTCCAGGAGAGCTGCAGAGGGACTGGGGACAAGGGATGGAGGGACAGGAGCCAGGGAATGGCTCTCAGTGCCAGAGGGCAGGGATGGATGGGAGATTGGGAATTGGGAATTGCTGGCTGGGCTGGAATTGCCAGAGCAGCTGGGGCTGCCCCTGGATCCCTGGCAGTGCCCAAGGCCAGGCTGGACATTGGGGCACCCTGGGACAGTGGGAGGGTTCAAGGCTGGGAGTCTGGGAGGTTTGATGGGAAAAAAGTGTCAGGAATGGGGAAAAGAGGAATTGCAGACCTCAGGAACGCTCAGAGCCCAGGTCAGGCACGGGAAATCAGAGTGGTTGAGTTTTTCATTGGTGAAGTCAAGATAAATCGAAGAATTCTGAAGAGTGAAGGAGAGAGAAATAATTTAATGTCTGAACATAACAAATGCCCTGGGAAAGGGAAGGAAGAGATGGATTTGAGGGGGTTTTGGAGATCTGGGAAGGGCTTTAGAAAATCAGGGAAGAATCAAACCCTTGGGCAGGGAAATGCAAAGGATTTGGCAGCAGCAATCCAGAGGAGTGGAGGAGGGAGATTCCAGAAGGAAGCTCCTCTCCTTGGCTGCTTTTCACCTTTTACATTGTTGTGTTTAAAGGTTTCAACATAAAATAAATGTAAAGCTCTGACCAAATATAACAAATAAATGTCAGAACTCTTGGAGCCTTAAATTATCTTTATTTTTTTTTAGCATCTCTTGCATCACAGCAAATTTCATTTTCCATTTAGGAGTTTAAGTAGGAAGGAATATAAAGCTCCAAGTGAAATTTAAGGAGAGGGAATTGAAGTGAATCTTTGCAGTAAAACACTGCAGTGTCATGGAAATTAAAACTTTTTATAGGGTAATTTATAGGGATAAAAGATTTTATACCTTGTCAGTCCCTGTGATATAGAACAAAGCTTTTGTCATGAGGATCTGGAAGGACTGCAGTGCTTTAAATCTCAAAAAAGTGCATAAATCTATCTCAGATATTCAATATTTTTAAAGAATGAACACCCCAAAAATAGAGAACCCCAAAAAGAGAGGGACATGTTGGTTCTGTGATCCAGAAAATGTCAATTTTAGTTCAGGTTTGAGCAGCAGGACATGGTGATGGTATGGATGATTTGGATTGGATTTATTGCTAATTTCGGATCTAAATATTGGAGTATCCAAATAAAATTTCCAGGATTTATCCCAAAGTATTGGGATTAGCAGGTTCTGGTCCCTCTGGTTTGGGTCAGTGCCAGCCCCTTGTTGTGGGGCTCAGCCCACCCAGATTTGGTCACTTTGTGTCCAAAGAATTCCAACATCAGCAGGATGGGCTGGGAACATCCAGGTCTGCAGCCCTTGGCCCTGCAGGATTCCCAATCCCAAATCACAAAACTCTTGTGGATTGTTTGGGATTTATCTCTGTGTTTGAATGATCTCAGTGCTTTCACTCCCCCATCCAAAAGGGAATATTCCCAATTTTTAGGCTGGAGGTCTCCCTGACAGAGGGGATATCAGGAGACCAGTTTGTCCCTGTTTGTCCCAGTTGGCCCAGTCTCCAGCAGCATTTTAACTCCTTTTTCAGGTCGATGTGCACCAAATTGAGACCTCTCAGCTCCCCATTTTTGGGGGTGTTAATGATGCCCTGAAGCCCCTCCTGCACCCCCCCACCTGGTGGGATTGTCCTGGGACACCCCCAGTGCCCAGCAGGAAAGGGAGCAGGGTGAGGGGAGCTCACAGGGAGGGTGCAAATCTGCCTGAAATTCTGTGGAAAAATCAGAGAATCCCACACTGGTTTGGGATGGAAGGGATTAAAATCAACTCATTCCACCCCTGCCATGGCCACGGACACCTTCCATATCCCAGGCTGCTCCAAGCCCTGTCCAACCTGGCCTTGGACACTTCCAGGGGTGAGGCAGAAGCTGAATCCCCCCAAAACCCTCAGGATTGGCTCTTTAGGATCATAATTCCATTCCATTAAGAGCAGAGTGACCTTTCCTGTAACCCCCATTCTCCAGTCTGATGCAGTGTTTTTAACAACAGCTGTCCAAAAGCATAATAGGGATTTTTTTTTTCAGGATACTGATAGGGAATTCTGCTCAATTGGCACCTCCTGCCATCCCTGGGAGCTGCAGGCTGGGTTCTGCTCCGTGCCCTGCCAACTCCTGTGCTGTGATTTGTTCTGAGTGTGGAGCAACCCCTCTCTGAGGGCCACCAAAATCGCTGCCAAATGCAGCTTTTAATTAAATGCTGCCTGTTGTGTTTGGACAGAGCCCTTTAGACTGGAAATTGTTTTCCATTGTCAGGAAAAATTGGACTTTCAACTCCACTGATTGGTGTTGTTCCTGCTGCCAAGGAGCAGGGGCTGGATTTTGGGGGAGGAGAGGTTTTCCTCTCGAGATCCAAGCACTGTTTCCTCTTCCAGCAGTTTGGTTTCAGACAAGGAATATTAGAGAGAAAAGTGCCAACAGGACTTTAAAATCGCAGTCATCCACTCAGCAGAGGTTGAAGTTCATCATAAATTGCAGTAAAATCTCTACTGTGTCTCTCACTGTGATAAAACTCATCCCAATTCTTCTGAAAAAAACATTCCTAGATGGAATCAAAGCTTCAAAGCCTGATGAGAACCCACATGTTGGGAAAAACAGATCCTAGCATGGAATTTACTTCCACAATCTGAAATTAGATACCTGAATGTCTTAATTTTAAGAAAAGTCCTTTTTTTTTTTTTTGTGCTGGTTTTGATTTTAAGATCTGATCTTCTGGACATTTTTTATTCATCCCCCTCTGCTCCGCTGGATGTTTTTAATTTACCACCCCCTGATCTCCTTTTTCCCAGCTCATCTTTGAAGGGATCCGTGGCCCTGGAATCGAAGGGGACATTGCTATTGACGACGTGTCCATTGTGGAAGGAGAGTGTATGAAATCAGACCAACCGGCCAACAGTGAGTGCTCCTTTCCCACAATTCCTTCCTATCTTTCCCCTTCCCAAATGGGTTTTTTCCCCACAGAACAATCCCTGCTTTAGGTCAGTTGGAAGGTTTAAAGTGGGATGTTGTCCTGGGGAATGCTTTGCTCAGATGCTTGATGGGTGTGAGGCAGAGGTGAGACTGGTGGGTGGGGTTGGGCTGGATTTGAGATACTCTGGCAGGTAAAACAACATCAAAACAACGTTCAGGAGACCCAAAAAATGTGGAATCCATGGAAGTCTCTGCTGTGATTCCCTGAGGGCTCTGTCTCACCCCTCCACCCATTAAAACAGAGGTAACCACATAGCCAGGTGGATTTTCATCCCAGTTCCTGCTCTATCCCATTGATGAGAGTTGTCCTTGTTGGAACACTGTAGCAATGCTGAGGGGGTCTGGGCACCTCTTTAATTCTATTTTTTTCCCTTTTTGTAGATCTACGATCAGGTGCTGTTGGGCCATTAGCACATATACGACTTCTCACACTCCTCATCCTCATGTCTGTCTTAAGTCATCAGAGGTGACCTTATCCTGGCAGAGGCTACAAAAGATTCACCAGGCACTGGCATGAAGAAAGAGTCTTTGTAAAATGGACATTTCCAAACAAACTACCAAAGATTCCTCCACTGACTGACTCGAAAGTTAAATAAATACGTAAATAAATAATTTAAAAATTTAAAAAAAGCGGATTAAGAAAGCACTGGGGACTTGAAAAGGCATCACGGGAGTGGAACTCACTAAGAACCAAGCTTGAGACCGAGATCTGGCCTAAGTAAGGAAGAGACCTTCAGGTGCTTTTGTGGTCACTGATGAATTCAGCATCATCTGGTTGAACTCTCGGCAAAGAGCTCTAGAAACCCTTGTCAAAGCACAAAGTCATGGCTGGTTTTGTTTCAAATGAATCGTTTGCTTGTTACCATGGAAACCGAATGGCCTGCCAAAAAAAAAAAAGAGGAAGGAGAGAGAGAGAGGAAATACAAACACAGAGAGATAGAGAAACACCTCACTGTAAACAGGGTACGTGAAGAGCTGGCATTCATTTTCCCTTCCCGAAGGTTTTTAGCGTAGAGTTAAACAAATGTCGGCCCTTTCTACTTCGGCTGTCACCTCCCCTCGGGGACAACCCGGAATCGGAGCTGTTTGCAGACATTCCCGTTTCATTCCTCACGGCTCTGCTTGGTGACTGTGTGCCGTCTCCTTTTGCATGCATTCCCACCCAGGACGTGCCACCTGGGCTTACATTTGTCACAGGCTTCACTGGGAGTTTGCTCGCGGCCGCTGGAAGATCCCTCTCCCCTCCCCACCGGAGTCATCAGCTCTATGGAAGTGAAGAAACCAAACCACCGTCTTTTATAAATTGCCATGGAAACCAAGTGCCTTCAATGAAACAAGCCTGATTTCAAAAAAACAAAAAACAAAAAAACCGAACAAAATATATATATATATAAATATATATATATATAAAAAATAAAAAAAAGTTATAATAAATGTAATAACGATGATTTCAATGCGGAAGCTTTGCACCGCTGAAAACGTGGGCTGTGCAAAGTCTTTTCTAAACAAACTCTGGAGCCTGGATGTGCAGGCAAGGAGATGGAGCCGCTTCTGGAGAAGGATGGATGGACCTAAGCTGCTGTGGAAAGCCTTTGGGATGAGATCCGTGCTGTGTGACCTTGCAGACAGCCATGGCCTTTCAACTTCTTATCCATTCGAAACAGCTCCCGGCAGTGCTGCCCGTGGGAGCAGCACCTTTTGTTGTCGTTGTCGTCATCGTTTCAGGTTCTCCAGTGGGTCAACCAGAGGAACAAAGGTGGTTCAGACACACACTTGGTGCAGAAGGTGGTGAAACACAGGATGATTTTCTTACTCTCCCCCTCCGTTGGGATGGCTCCCGACATCTGGAGCTCCGGACGCTCCGAGGGGGCTCTGCCTCTGCCCTGGAGCCAGACTCGGTGCAGAGGGCGAAAGATTATTTTGTTATTGTAGCGAAATTCAAAAAACAAACAAACAAAAAAAGTTTAAAAAAAATAAAAATAATCCACTTTTACAAGGAAAAAAAAATAAAAGCTGTACAAAATGGGTTTGACCTACCCGAACACGTGCCGGTTTTCCACTGCATTGTAAAGCTCCCTTCCAGTTGGTTATGAAATTTGAAGACCTTTTTCCTTAAATTAGCTCAGCTTTTAACTTCATTTAAAAAAAAAAAAGACTTTTGTCTAAAGAAGAGTATTATTATTATTATAATTATAATAATTATTATTATTATTCTGTGTTCTCTCGACACCCTAGGATTAAAAAGCAAAACCTGATATGCAAATAATTGGAGTACAAATGTGAAAACAAACAAAAGATGAGTATAATAATTGCAAATATGAGTATAAAAAGCACAACGAGATGCAGTAAAACAATGACAAGGCTTGATTTTTTTTATTCTGTAGAGAAATGTTTGTGCAAATTCAGTAATTCCACTGAAGAGATAATTTTCCAGCTCTGTTCAATAAAGCCTCTTTCCAGGTAAGGCAGCCCCGTGGTGCGTGTGTTTGTTGAGACGCTGGCAGGGCTTTCCTTGGTCAACTGGTGTCAGCTGGAGTTGTACTGGTCCATACTGGTGGTGCCTGGGGGCTGGAGCATTCCCAGGATGCTCTTGGCTCTCTGATTTTTAGGCATTTTTGGTGTCTTTAAGTTCCTGTTCTTGGAAAATGGTGGGAGCTCCAAGTCAGGACATTTTCAGAGAATCCCAGGATGGTTTAGGTTGGAAGGGACATTAAAGCTCATCCCTGGAATCATGGAATATTCTGGGCTGGAAGGGACCTGCAAGGATCATCGAGTCCAAATCTGAACTGAATGGTCCCTGTGGGGATCGAAACCACAACCTTGGGGTTATCAGCACCTTGCTCTGTTTGGAAGAAAGTGGGAACTCCAAGTCTGGAATGGACTGTGAGGTTTGGAAGATGGTGGAAACTCCAAGCCTGGATGGACTGTGGGGTTTGGAAGATGGTGGGAACTCCAAGTCTGGATGGATTGTGTGGTTTGGAGAACAATGGGAATTCTGAGTGTGGATGGACCATGGGGTTTGAAAGAAAGTGGGAAGCTCCAAATCCAGATGGACTATGGGATTTGGAAAATAGTGGCTCTGAGTCTGGATGGACCATGGGATTTGGAATATGGTGGGAACTCTGAGCCTGGTGGCCTGTTGGGTTTGGAAGATGGTGGAAGCTCCAAATTTAAATGGACTCTGTGGTTTGGAAGTCAGTGGGAATTCCGAGTCTGATGGACTGCGGGATTTGGAAGACTGCGAGAATTCCAACTCCGGATGGTCTGTGAGATTTAGAAGGAATTAGGAACTCACAGTCTGGATGGTCTGTGGGGTTCAGATGACAATGGGAATGCAGAGTCTTATGAACTGTGGGGTCTGGAATGTAGTGGGAACTCTGAGTCTGGATTGACCATAGGGTTTGGAAGAAAGTGGAAGCTCCAAATCTGGATGGACCATGGGATTTGGAAGAAAGTGGGAGCTCTGAGTCTGGATGAACTGTGGGGTTTGACACCCTTAAAAAATACAAATCACTGAATTTCCCACTGGAAGCTCTGGATTTCAATTGTGGATGGATGGAGGAGCAGGTCAGGCATGGTGAGACCCTGAGGCAAATTTTTTTTTGGAGGTTGGTGTGTCCTGGAACTCAGGATCCAAACCTTACCGTGCATCTTCCCATGGATGTTTCCTGAGAGCCACGTAACTGAGGGGTGATCCAAGAGGCTTCTCCATGGGTGATTTTGGCAGGACTCCCTTTGGAAGAGCTGGATCTGCTGGGAGCCAGAGTGACTGTCTGTCAGTCATTTCCACAGGAAATCCCAGAAGGTTTTGGTTGGAAGGGACCTTAAATCTCATCCCATTCCAACCCCACGGGCAGGGACACCTTCCACAGACCAGGAAGGAAAGGAAAACAGGAAGAATTCCATTGCCTCTAAAATACTTCCCTGCTTTTCCCTCGAATTTCCCTCAAAAATCCAAATTGAACCTTAGGTGCCCATTGGAGATGAACTTCCCGGGCAGAGCCCTGGCTGCAGGGCTGCTGGTGGTGGCATGATGGGAACTCTGTGGGAAGTTGGGATTTGGGAAGTGCCCTGTGATTCCTCTTTGATAAAGGAGTTGGATGATAAGGAACAGGAGATCCTGCTCCATTGTTTAGATCTCAAGCCAAAACTGGAGGCTGAAATCCATCTTTCCTCTTTCCATTTGGATTTTCCTTTCCCTTGCTGCCATGGAATGTTTGATAAAGAATTTCAATTGACAAAGACCACAGATGTCTTTTTTTAGGGCAGAATAATCTGCGTGTCCTGAAAATCCCAGGTTTTTGTGGGAAAGGAAATGTATTCCCATGCCTGTTCCCATTTTACTCTGGGTTGCAGGAGGTGCTAAGAAAAGCAGAATTTCTCTTCCAAATGTTGATTGTAGGAGTAGTTCTATCTTCTTTTACATTCCCAAAATAAAGCACCGAAAAGGAAATGGGATTTTACTCCAGGCCATGAATAAGAAGAACAAATTGAGATATAAATTTCCTACTCTTGGTTTTTATTTCATGTTACATTTTGGACTGAAAATGGATGTGAAAATGTTGGATCAGCCATCAAAAGCAGTCGGAACTGGCAGTTCCCTGGAATTTGAAACCCCTCTGATTCAGTTCTGGGGTATCCAACCTTGAAATGTCCTTGATGGATTTTTAAAATGGACATCAAATACTGAATTGTGCAGCAACTGAAGCCCTGGGATGTTGGGAAAAGCGGCTGGGTTTGATGGCATGGCTGCAGGAATTATCTGGCTGTTCCCAAAAGCAGAGGACGGTGGAGCACAGGATAAGTTTTCCAGGTTTTTTCAGTTCTTTCTCAGGCTGATCTGGGAGCATAAGGATGGCTCTGGAGAACTTCATTTTTTGTTTCACAAAGCACATTGAATGTGAAATCATGGAATCGCAGAATTATGGAATGTAGAATTATGTAGAATTATGGGTGAAAGGGACCTTAAATCCCACCCAGTGTCACCCCTGGATGGGCAGGGACACCTCCCAGTGTCCCAGGCAACTCCAAGCCCCAATGTGCAGCCTGGCCTTGGACACTTCCCAGGGATCCAGGGGCAGCTTCTCTGGACAACCTGAATCCCACATTAAATCATGAAACAACACTTGGATCTCACCATGCTACCAACCCACCTCTTCTGCAGCCTGGCCTGGATCCTGGATGGGACACAAGGAGGGATAAAACCATGGATTAGAAGGGAGTAAACCCATTCCAATGACACCATGGATGCACAATTAGGATTTGAAGGCCAGAAATGCCTGGGGATGTGAAATTTCCTTTTAATTTGGGACAGGAACTGCTGGTTCCTCCTAAAGTGATGAAGCTGCACCATCCAGGCTCTGCAAGCCCCAACCTCCACTGATCCCAGAGCTTTCCTTGACATCCAGCACTGGAATTCCTGCTGCATGCACCATGGAGATGGAATAATCAGTTTTGGGGTGATTGGCATCCCCAAACTTTAAAACAAAGTCAATCTTCAGCTTCTTGTTAATTTTCTCTTTTCCTGCCTAGTCAGGGCAGTGAATTCCCTTTGTAGGGAGCAGTTCAGGCAGAAGGATCTGATTTTTTTCCATGCTGAGTGGAAGAGGCTTTCCTGGTTTTATTCTGGGAGAGTTTACCTGCTGGGAATGTTTATTTTGTATATTGAAGGGTAATTGAGACTCTCTTCCTCCCCCAGAAGTGTGTGATCCATCAGGAAAATGGCTCTTTGGAGCATTTCCATTAAAAAAAGGCTCCAGTTTGGAGTTACAAGCACTCCCTGCCTCTCCCATGCTAATAAAGAGATTGGGAGCCATCTGGAATAATTCTTGGATTTTCCCATAAAACTATCAAAAGCTATAAAAAAGTTTACATTTCAAATTCTTTTTTACATTTTTATGGAAAATAAGCATCACTGCAGGAATGTTCTCCCCTTTTTGCCTGCTCCACCATGATTCCAGTGTCAGCACAGAAGGAATGAAACTATTGGACTATCCTTTGTGCAAAGGAATTTAGGGGCCTGCAGCTCCTGCAATCCCACATTCTTGGGATTTAGAGTGTGCAGAAGTTTTCTGTCATCTGTCCCTAAACCCCTGACTGTGTCACCCCCAGATCCCATGGGAATGTTGGTGTAGGCAGGGAATTGTGCTCTGTATGATAAAAGAGAGGAGTGATCATTATCCCAAACACAGGGAAATTGGGATTGTACATCCTGCTGCTCCCTGTTAAAATGTTATTTCATTTTCCTTTGGATCTGTCAGACTGGGGAGCTTGTACTCAACGCATCCCCCCCAGAATGGTTTGGGTTGGAAGGGACTTTAAATCCCATCCAGTCCTTCCCTTCCATGGGCAGAGACCTTTCCACTATTCCAGTTTCTCCAAGCCCATCCAGTCTGGCCCTGGATATCTTGTGTGTCATCAAAACTCAAGTGAGAACAGACTGAGGGAGTAACCAGAGAACTCGATGGACTCTGTAGGTGTGAGGAGAAATTCCCTCTTCCCTGAGCACCCCTCCTCAAATTCCCTAAAACATGCCAGTTCAGCCATGACCCACCAGTCATTTTCCACTGGAAGCACCATAATGGAATCATGGAATCATTTAGGTTGGGCATTAGCTCCAAGAACATCGAGTCCAACCATGCCCCAGCACAGCCAAGGCCACCACTGATCCTTGTCCCCAAGTGCCACGTCCACAGGGCCCTGAAATCCCTCCAGGAATGGCAATTCCCTACTGCCCTGAGCAACACCTGATAATGATAGAATCCATCTGAGATTCCTGGTAAGAAACTGAAACCTAAACAGGACTATTTGTGTTCCTTCTGGATGGGCTGGATGGATGGGATGGATGGATCTGTGCCTCTCCTGCCTGGTTCCTCTGTGACACATTCAGGTTGGATGTCACCTTAGGGGACCTATGACAGGTGATTTACAACTGATTTCCTTTTCCAGTCTCTGAAAGATTTTTTTCCCCAGTGAGAAGGAGACTGGAATGTTGATTGCTTGGACTAGTGAATCTCGAGCTTTGCTCACCTCCAAGGTCACGGCTACAAGTGGAGAAACATTCCTGCCAATGCCTCGGGATCCAGGATTTGTGCAGGAAACTTTCACGTTCCACACATAGGAGGGAGAATTGGGATTACTGCAACAACCATGCCTGAGGAATTTTTGGATGGATATGACCACAAAAGGGATTGGAGAAACACAAATTGTTGAGAGTAAGGACGAAGAGCCTCAGCACCTTCTCAGGAACGCTCAGATCTGCTGCACACTCCAACTGCAAAGGGGACAAACGTGGTATTTGTGTCTGTAAATACCCTATAAATACCTGTAATTGGATGTATTTAATGTAAATAGGATAACGAGGACATTTTAACGATCTCCACTGTTGTACAGAACCCAAACTTGCGCTCTTATTTTCCTACACCCCCACTGTAGATTGATTTTGGGTCATTGTTGGGTCTGTATCTGGTTGAGTTCCAAACTGCTCTCACTTTTACCTCAAGGGTTTCATGTTCTTTATGTACATTTTATAAAGAAAAAAAGAAACCACTCTGGATTTTTGGGTACCTTTTCCATTGCCAGCAGTATTTCCTGTCTTTTCAATTTTTTTCTGCTCCCAGATCCACCGGGATTGAGGGGAGGGATGGGGTTTGGTGGGGGATGAGGATGTTCCTCATTCCATGTGTCCCTGCCTTCCTGGGAGGTCTAAAAATGTGGGAATGTGCTTCCCTCTCCCTCCACTTCTTGTTAAGTATGGAAAGGTCTTAATTAGAGAGGAAGAGGCTGGGCCACCCTCTTCCCTACTGGGGCCAGGCCTTCCCTTGACCGGTCCCAGCAGAGTTTTTCCAGCTTCATGGACAGTTGAGGGTCGAAATCTTTGGCTTTCCATAATTCCCATTTAACCCCTGGGAAGTGACCAAAAATGAAGACGTATGTGCCCTGCCAGAGCAGGGTGTTTCCCAGAACTCCTCCTGTGCCATGTGGGAATAGAGGGATGGGCACATGGAGCTCTAACAGCACCCCCAGATCTAGCCTGGATCACTGCATGATGATCCCAAATTTCTCCTGGTTGTTGGATACGTGGCCCCAGGGTGGAGGGTGCCCATCGGGACTTTTAGGGTTGACATCCATTCTCTGCTGCAGGCGTGGCCTGGGTATTCCTGGTATTGTCCAGCTCTTCTACTGGGACTAAACCTTAGAATCATGGAATTGTTTATGTTGGAAAAATTCTCTAGGGTCATTGAGTCCAACAATTCCTCAGCACTGCCAAGGCCACCCCTGCCCCATGTCCCCAAGTGCCACATCCACAGGGATTTAAATCCCTTCAGGGATGGGCACTACACCCCTGCCCTGACATTCCACCCTTTCCATGAAGAAATTGTCAATAACAGCCAAATTAAACCTCCCCTGGCCCAGCCTGAGGCCGTTCCCTCTGCTCCTGTCCCTGTTCCCTGGAGCAGAGCCCGACGCCCCCGGCTGTGCCCTCCTGGCAGGAGCTGTGCAGAGCCACAAGGGCCCCTGAGCCTCCTTTGCTCCAGGCTGAGCCCCTGCCCAGCTCCTCAGGGATTCTGCAGCCCCTGCCCAGCTCCTCAGGGATTCTGCAGCCCCTGCCCAGCTCCCTCAGGGATTCTGCAGCCCCTGCCCAGCTCCCTCAGGGATTCTGCAGCCCCTGCCCAGCTCCTCAGGGATTCTGCAGCCCCTGCCCAGCTCCCTCAGGGATTCTGCAGCCCCTGCCCAGCTCCTCAGGGATTCTGCAGCCCCTGCCCAGCTCCTCAGGGATTCTGCAGCCCCTGCCCAGCTCCCTCAAGAATTCTCCAGCCCCTTCCCAGCTCTGCTTCTTTCCCTGCTCCAGCCTCTCTTTGTCCTCTACCTGGAGATGCCAAATCTGCCCCCAGTACTGCTTTTCCTGTGGGTAAAATGAGACTATGTAAGTGAAAACACACTTTGTTCCTTGTGCTGTTTTCCTGTGTTTCCTTGTTTCCTGTTTTCCCTGCCTTTTTCCACCATGGAAAATGCCTCCATGACTCTCCACCATGGAAAATGCCTCCATTATTTTCCACCTTGGAAATGGCCTCCATCATTTTCCATCGTGGAAATGGCCTCCATGATTTCCCACCATGGAAAATGCCTCCATGACTCTCCACCATGGAAAATGGCCTCCATCATTTTGCTGATTGGATCAATGACATCCTGTGGAAAATCATGGAGGCCTTTTCTGTGATGGAAAAGGGCAGGGAAACAGGAAACAAGGAGACATGGGAAAGCACCCATCAGTGTAAGCACATATCCAAACGGATTCCTGAGGGAAAACTCAGAGTTCCCAGATGAGTCTTGCGCTCCACAGGTGGTGACAAACAGCAACACGCTGGAATTTACACCTTAAAAAAGAGGAACTTTCCCATCTCCTATTTTTCAGCCTAAAATATCCCATTTTCCCATTGGATCTCACAGCCTGAAGTCATTCCACAGGACATTTTCCCATTATCCCTGGGATATTCAGGGGTGGAAAACTTTCTTCATCCCATTGATCTGCTTCACCTTCCCTCACACAAATTGGATTTTGGCTCCACCTGGAAGAGACCCCAGGACATATCCCATGGGTATAAGCACAACCTGTGTTATCCATATTTCTGCTGGAATCACAGAATCCCTGAGGGTTTGGGTTAGGAAAGACCTTAAAGCTCAGTTTGCCCATGGGCAGAGATCCCTTCCACTATCCCAGGTTGCTCCAAGCCTCATCCAATTATAACTAATAAATTTTTTTCCATCCCTTGGAGTTATAATAAATAATTTGGATTTAATCCCAAGACTTGAACCTCTGTGTTCCCAAACCAGACAGTTCCATAAAGGTTTTGGAAGTTGGGTCACAGAAACACCTCAGAAAATATGTTTGATTTTGGCCTTGCTTTCCTAAAAATTTCTGAGCCAAGCCAGAATTATCCAATCTGTCTTTGGGATAAATTTTAACAGATCTTTGGAAACTTTATGTGAAGAACCAGGACCAATTTGGGACAAAATGAACTGGGATCGAGCCTGGCCTGAAAAATGCCTGGATAAATCAATTCCTGCTCCTAATCCATTGGTTATTTTTGTGGAGTTAAAATACGCCTGCTCTCTGGATGTAGCAGTGCCAGGACTGTCAGATTTGTCTCCTTAGGGAATATTTTTTACTCCTGTTGGAGGTTTTCTTGGCACATTGCTTAAATTTTTTTTTATTATTTTTTTTTTTGCTGCCAGGAGGCCAGGGGTGTATTTGCAAGGATTAAAGTATTACTGGAGTGGCTCCAGGCCTTTCCTAATCCCCATTATTCCCTCTAATCCCACCACAACACAATGCTTCTCTCACATTGCTTAATTATGCAGTGAAAATTAATAAAAAATAGCTGTAAAATGACATTTTGAGGAGGGATCGAAATCCCAGTTTCTTTGGGATGCAGCAAAAATTTGTACTTTCACTGTGTTCAGTAATCCTTGACATTTCCAGCCTAATTCCTCAGGGAACAAGGATTACAAAACCTCCTGGGAATCGATTTTTGCAGGATCTCAGGCCTTTCATTTTAATAAATCTTGGGACATGTGTCCCATTTCCAAGGGGCTTGAAGGGCGGTTGGGATCACAAGAACAATTTGGAGGTGGGGTGGTTTTATTTGGGAATGAGGCATTAGAGAAGAGAATTTTTTTCCTGCTTCCTAGGGAATGTGAGTTTGTAGGGAGTATTTCCTGAGCGGGGAGGATTTTTAGTGGTCACCAAAAATCCAGCCAGGAAAAATGTTTGGAGAGGGGGGTGGGATGGGATGGGATGGGATGGGATGGGATGGGATGGGATGGGGATGGGGATGGGATTTAAGGTCTCTTTGAACACAAAGCAGTCTGGATTTCTGTAGAATGCCCTGAAAATGCTAAAAGCTCCAATCCGGAATTAAGGGATATGAAGGAACAGTGGCCATGGAAAAGTGAGAATCCCTTGGAATTTTATTATCATTTCCGCCCCACCACCCCGCCTTTTTTTGCCTTCAGCCTCCTGGAATCAGTGCCCAGCATCCATCAGGAGCTGAGGATCAGGCACAGCTAATTACACTGCTAATGAGGTGCTAATCAGGCACCCTAATGACTCCAGCACCACTCCATGCTCCAGAATCCGGGTAGGG